AGGCTGCCGGGGATTCCCATGATGCACTGGGTGTTTCTTCTACACTCTGTTTTTACAGGGCATTCTGTACTTTTGTCATGTGTGGCAATAAGTTAGCTCGAGTTTTCAAATGGAGAAGGTGCGAGGCGGGACAAGAACAGTGATTTGGATCATTATGAATAATCTGCAGCTGCAGGAGGAGACTGGATTTGGAGACCTGATTCTTACGGTGCGTTCACACCGAACGTGATAGAAGCGACCAAAAAGCGCCAGACGCCCCTGGCTGGTCGCGTGCACATTCGCACCTCGAAGCGTTTCCAAAGCAAACTGGTCGCACTTAATATGCAATAGTGAAGCGGAAATGTGGGCGGAAGTAATGCCAGATGGTATGTTTGCAAGATGGCAGCTGTCGATCTAGCGTTTGAAGAGAGGTTCTCCCTTCTCTATTTACTGTGGAGAGCAGAGCAGCGGCGTAATTGGACGTGATGGTTATCAAAACCAAACAAGCGCAGGAGACACGACACGGAGGAGATTTGTCAATCAGGCTGCAGAATGCAATGCGCATTGTTGAAAGTTGTACTGTGCAATAAAAAAACCTGCGAAAACGCGAGGCAGTGACGGATGAAGAGCGGGACCACGGTGTGCTGTTTATTAATAAACAAAAACATATATTCCTATATGACAACATGCACAAATTAACTGCCTACATTAATTCATTGTAAACAGGCAGCTGGTGTCATACAGCTCCGGGTGGTAGGCTACGGCGTTGATGAGCCTTTCTTCCATATTGAATGAAGAATGAAGGGCTTTGGCTGGACCTGCCCCTTTGAACCAGGTCAGAGCATCACGTCATCAGGCTCCTGATTGGAGTTCAGATTTTTCCAACTCGAGTGGTAGATGCGATAAGTGCGAATGCACAAAATGCAACACAAACTGCAGCGCGTGTTTTCCATCGCATCAGTCGCGCTAATTGTTTGCGCGAATCAGGCAGAAAAGCGTTTTCGCGACACCAATCTGCTTCTGAAGTTTCGCGGGAACCCCAGTCGTGCTTCATCGCGCTCCTCCATTGACCGTAAACCTGAAGCTCTGGTCGCTTCTGTCGTGTTCGGTGTGAACGCACCATTATGACCTGCAAAGACTTTAGGATGATAAAAGAGTCAAGCTCAGTTTGTTGATTTGGTTTAACTGCTGAAAAGTTTCTGGGAGGTCAGCGCCGTCATCATCTGCAACTAAAGGTAAGCTCTGCGTCACCTTGTAGGAGGGGCTCCAGAACACCGTTCATCACACCTTCGGGCAGGAACCTCCACTGGAAGACGGCGTGGTCGGCACCACCGGTGCTGATGACCCACTGCAGATCGCTGGACCAGCGAACGTTGGTCACATGGGCAGAGTGACCAATGTACTTCTTAAATTTGGCCCCTGTGTGATGTTAGAAACACAAGAATAAGAACGCACATCACTCCAGAAACATCCTCATCAAATCTATTCTGTCCCACGCCTGTAACTCCGGGTCTAGTGACTAAGACTCAGAATTAGGACGACCTCAGAGGTCCACCACTCAGCCGGACTCTGTGGATCTTCAGTAAAAATGTTATCGGCTTGCATCACTCGCCTTTCTTCAGGCAGGGGAACCTGAAGAGCTTGACGAGGCCAAGGTCATCGCCAGCCACCAGCACAGCGCTGCTGTAGTTGGCGTCCACGGAGTTTACGTTGGTGACGTTGGAGTATTTGATCCAGATGCCGTTCACCTCCGGCCCGACAACACCGGTCCACGTCATCCAGTGAATCCCTTTCGCCTCCTCTTTAGGAACCAGCTTTCCCGCTGCAGGACAGGGAAAGGAAGTAGGTAAGACCCACAAATCTGCACCATCAAGTCCCACAACTGGTCCCAGGTAAGGACAGGTGAGCTCCAATTAACCCTTGTGTTGTCTTTCGGACATTTCTGTCCTCTACAGAAATTTTGCTATCAAACATGGGGTTTTTAATCATCAAATGGTCTGACAGTAACAGTTATTCAGTACTATGCTATGCATGACTGGACTAAGTTTTAAGTAATTTGATTTATTTATGGATTTTGTATTAGATTTTATAACACCTGTGGTCCTCGGGGACAAACATGTCCCCAAATTACAAAGTGTTGCAAAGGGTCACATTTACACACCAAACATCTTTGATCTTGGATCACTGATGTGTGGGGTCGAGCAAAGGTCATAACCACAACAACACCAACAGGCAGCACAATGAGGAGGCAGGTGCTCTGCATTCCATTCAATTGTATTTTTACAACAGCATCAAGGTGCTTCATACTGTAAGGTAGACCCGACAATAATACATACACAGAAAGTATGCTCACAAGCCTCCACTGCACTGGAGGCTTGTGAATTCTGTTCTTGTTTATGACCTCAAAACGATTTTATGTACACGGTGTTAGGATAAATCTGTCAAATGTTTCAGTACGACTTTGCTGAGCTACGAAGCCGCACCGCTTGATGGATTGTCGGAGCATTACGGCTATCGTAGGCGGAGCCTGGCGGAGTGATACGTACTGTGCTTCAACATAATGTTACTGTACTGTGTGTGTTTAACCTCTTTTTAAGTTTTGTGGATATTATACATGGTTATGCTGAGGATATGTCGGCCAGTTTCCACTGGAAACGCCTTTTGGTTAAACTGTCAGCGAGGAATTTGCACCGTTACATTTTTATATAACTTTAATGCACTTAAAACAGCTGCTTGTTTAAGTGAAAATACACTGATGGGTTTTTTTGCACTAATAAAGTTGTGGACTTGTAAAGTATTTTGTCTCATGTCAATTATATCGTCAGTTATATCGTTATCGCAAATTTTCAAATGTATATCGTGACAGA